TATGTTCAATGTTATGCAAAATGGTAGAAATAATTATGTAAAAAATATTTTTTTTCTGTGAAATATTCGCTCTTTCATTTTAATGTATTATGCCAATTATATAGGAGGCATCCTTTTTTTTAATAGGTGTTATTGATTACTAAAATCTCCATAAAACTCCTTTCTGTTATTGATTAAACTGATAAAAATACTTTAAATGGATTAATATATTTAGGACAGACAAATATTCCATGAAAATGTACTGCTAAAACACACCAAAGAGACAACTGGTCAGACTATAGAACCAAAAACTGTCATTAAAATATGTACTTAAACAATAGGGTTTATGTAATGGCATACGTTTATAATGCTAAAAAGATAACTACTATCTAATGTATTCATCTAATCAGACAAAAGGAATGAGAATGCTAAATACAATTAAGATTTTTGATTGTTAATATACGTGTGTTGACATATAATATATTATATATAGAGTAGTCGTTAGTGAAGTATCCTAACGAAGGTTAAATTGTGGGTAACTTATGGGAACTATCTACGGATTGTTATTATATATATATTCTTATTATATAACTATTAAGTAACTAGATTGTATATATTTATATTCCTTTTACAATAAGCTTTTATTTGACATATCGACTACTGTTATACGATTTACTATTCTTAAGTTATTCTTAACTTATTAGTTACAGTTTCTCATAATCACAGACACATTTCGGCTTGATGATGTATTATTGTTAATTTTTATTTTATGGTATGATGTGGTCTGGTTTACTTGTACATAAACCAAGTATATCTGAAATATGTTATTCGTATGGTGTAAGATGATATAAGTGTTCCGGACTGAACAGGCAGGACTAGACAAAAAGGACAAATAAGGACTTTAGGCTGCTCGTACTGGTCAATGCGTTATTGGTTTTGCACAGTGATAAGAATGTGCTAGGATGGTGTTCTGATTGGCGATTTTATTACGTGATAATCAACAGGGCCAAAAATGACAATAGTTAGATGAAAATTAGTTATGAATTGTTAATTTCAATATTCGATTTCAATTCATTGAATCAAAATTTCCATATCATGACTGGCAGTTGAATACAAGATGTGTGTTTAATCCTATTTAGGACTACTTAGCTGGATGTAATCTTATCCAAGTGATGATGTTCATATTGAGTCCCAAACAGTGCAAGTCGTTTCAAGAACCAAACAGTTATCCACTAATATTCTGAGTTCAATAGTAATTAACTTATCCAGTGGTTATAGTATCATTTTTAAAGGTTGTAGAAGACGAATAGGAACTTCCGTCTAAATTTGATCGAATGATTTCACAGTATTTGGGCGCTGAGTTGATGTGAGACATTAAAGAGGAAGAATGTATGTGTAAAATCTCAGCGAATGAATTTGAAGTAAGTCCGTTTCGCCTGGCAATCTGGTCAAAGCTTTTCCAAGGAATTATAATCAAAATTATCGAATATAAGTAGGTACATGGTTCTCCGGTTCACTGTTTACTGAAAAGGTCATCTAATCATGGTTAACAATGTTTAAAATAGGTATTTGTATTATTGTGTAAGACATGTGGTGTGAAACGAAGTGTTAAGATAACAGATTATGTGTATACGTAAGTGAAAGTTTTCTTAATATTCACGAACCAAAGACAATATATAATGAATGAAAATTCTTCTCACTTACGCATACACACAATCTGTTATCTTAACACTTCGTTTCACACCACATGTCTTACACAATAATATAAATACCTATTTTAAACATTGTTAACCATGATTAGATGACCTTTTCAGTAAACAGTGAACCGGAGAACCATGTACCTACTTATATTCGATAATTTTGATTATAATTCCTTGGAAAAGCTTTGACCAGATTGCAGGCGAAACGTTGGATTTACTTCAAATTCATTCGCTGAAATTTTACAAATATATACTTCTTTAATGTTGTGGAAGATGATTTTGGTGGAGTTTCGTTCTCTAACATGCTTGGTTTAATCATAAACCTTTCACTGTTCTTCCGAACAAGACCGTTAGCATAAACTTCAGGTAGAAGTGAAGTATTCGGATTTCTCCACATATAACTAACAGCTATTCTGTCGACCTTGATTGACTATTGTTGACCTTAAACCTGTCATTGTCTTTATGTTTATTTTGGTTCTCTCCCTTTGATTTGATTCTTATCCATGATTTTTCCGATTTATTGATAAATTGGATTGATTTCAATGTTTTAGTTGATTACTGATTGACCTGAGTACCGAGCTTCTAGGAATTCTCGGATGTTCTTGGTACTCTCTCTAACCAACATTTCAACATCTTTCCAGTCAACTGTGCGTCTACTATCCCGTTACATATAATGTGACCATTCATTACTATTTGAGCGAAATATTATGACTGTTTCACAAGAGAACTAGTCTCGTACACAAGATTAAGATGTTCGGTTTATCTTTATGGCAGTATTACGTTTAGTCGGTCCTAGCGTGCAGCCCTTATTCTAAATGATCAATATAACTAACAACTACTTCAGATTGAAGCGAGTTTTTTAGAAGTATTCTACAGGTTTTAGGGCAGTTTATCTCCATCATCTGGTTTCGCAGTTTTGATCATCATCATGTATGTATGCTTTCCTCAGTCGATTGTTTCGTTACGTTAACCTCTAACTTCACTGGTCTCGCTTGATCCCCTGGACCTCAGTTTCTGTGTATTCTGACCGCCAAATATTGGGTTCAAAGAAATCCCTTACCATCGTTAGTTCCGGAATCCCATCCACGAGTAGACCGTTTACCATTAACCAAAAATACAGACTTAGTCAAGATGACTCCTAAACACAAACTGTGTCAGAAAGGAAGAACAAAAAGACAGCAATCAACAACAGCCAAACAAGAACAGAGAAAGAGCAAACCAGCAAATGAAGAGGAGCATTACAGCCGACAAGCAGAAATGTGTGGAAGCGCCAGCAACGAGGGAGGAAAAAGCTGCAAGAGATGGAAATATGGAACAGCTATATGATACAACGAAGAAACTAGCAGGGATTTATAGTAAACCAGAGAAACGGGTCAAGGACAAAGGCAAGACAATCACCGATATTCAAGAACAGAGGAGTGGAATACTTCGAGGAACTCTTGAATAGACCAACTCCACTAAATCCACCGGACGTCGAAGCAACACACAGATCTTCCTATAGATGTCAATCCACCAACGACGGAAGAAATCAGAATGGCCATAAGACAAATTTAGAGCGGGAAAGCAGCAGGACCTGACAATATACCAGCTGAAGTCAGGTATCAAAGTAACTACAAACATGCTTCACCTATTCAAGAGGATTCGGGGGGGAGGAACAAGTGCCGATGGACTGGAAAGAAGGACACCTCATCAAGATTCCAAAGAAAGGAGATCTGAGCAAATGTGAAGACAACAGAGGCATCATACTACTACCGATACTAGGAAACGTGTTCGACGGTGTTTTCGAACCTGATGAGAGTTTCAGTAGACGCTCAGTTTCGAGATCAACCCGACGCATTCCGTAACGATCTGCTGTGCACAGAACAAATCGCGACACTATGGATGATCATCGTTGAACAATCAATTCAATTCCTACGGTTGGAGAATATATAGAACTCAAAACAACCGTCTGCAAGTCAACATCTAGGCGAGAATCTTCAGTACGAACGTCAAGACAGTTAGTACTACTGTACGAAAGTGAAACTTGGATAACTACTACAACCATCATCATAAAAGTACAAGTGTTTATAAGCAATTGTCAACACAAAATACTCCATGTCCGTTGACCAGATATCATCAATAACATCCTACTGTGGGAGAAGAAAAACAGCTTCCAGCTGAAGAGGAAATTAGGAAAAGACGTTAGACATGGTTAGGACGTACATTGAAGAAATTGTTAAACTGCACGAGTCAAGAGCTAACTTGAAATCCTGAAGAGAAACGGAAGGCCAAAGAACACACTTAGCCGAGAATTAGAAGCTGGTATGAATAGGACGAATGACAACTGGGAAGGATATCACAAGACAGAATTGGATGGAAAGCACTGGTGAGCGGCCTGTTTCTCCACCTTGGGTAACAGGTGTAAGTAAGTGGATTAGAAATAACGTCGTACTTTGTATCTTGTTAATTCACGTCCTACATCTGTCTGGGCTTTTATTCAGAGATTTCTAACAGGAATGAGTATTCCCAAAGCAGAGATTAGATCCTAAATTGTTGTGGAGATTAATTACACCTGCATCTAAAAAACCACTTAGATGTAGAATATGCCGATCGTTAAATCAAGATATATGAACTGAGAAATATGACTACTATTTAGAAATCTCGTTTTCTAACATTTACCTGACACTACTAAACTTCCCGCCGTATGTTTGTGGGATTCATACGTCCCTGCTACTCTCCAGTAGTTTGTCCGTTTTTGCAACTTTGACACCAAAATCTTATGAAAGCAAACTTACCAATTTTTTAAGTATCTTCATAAGACAAGTGCATCCATTTGTTGACGTATTCAACTAGTTGTACATACACTATATTATATTCACAACAATCATATTCCCTCAAGCTTTCATTACTTTCCTATTTTATGCAGTATGTTCGCAGTCACAACCAATAGCGAGAACTATTTTCAAGACCAGCCACAAATCCAACCTTACTCAGACAGAACAAATGCATCATACTCAATCCTGATTTACCTAAATGCTATGGTTGACTACATGCTGAATACAAACTATAATCGACTATGATATGTATTTTTCTGATTGGAGTACATTTATTCCCTGCATCCATCGACATATAGTTTCCCAGTGCACATCCATCAATATCTGAGGCTGAAACCAGAGCAGATACTTGTATGACACTATCTAGCGCTTAAGAATCACTTCACAAAATGTTACCGAGATAAATCATACATATTTTCACCACCAATTTGCAAAAGGTCATTAGTAGTAACTTTGTTAACATTACGACATAAATCCTCCCATCAGTATGGTAAAGAAAAACTGGAATCTAGTTTAATATTTCTATTGATTTTTATCTGACTTATTTAGACGTAAGACAACTGGTCGATACGACAATGATAGTAAAAAAAAACCGATTAATTAAGGATTTTATGTATAGGTTATAAAAGTCAATCATCCAGATTTAAAAGCAAGAATTGCGACCTGTCCAAGGTATAAGTAGATAAAATGTTTGGTTTCATGGGTCACGTAGCTGCAAAAGAAGCAAAAATATTGAGTCCGAGTGACAATAGCCATCAGACGTTTCGAAAACTAAATAACTGATTTATAGATGAACTGATAGGTTAATTTTTTTAAAAATAGCATATTACCTACTGACAACTTCAATTGACCCGTTTTTAAATTTTGATAGTCTAATAACAGTTTTTAAAGAACCGGTCAAATCAAGTACCAACTATCTGGATGAGGAAATGCTATTGAAACCGGCTTAACACTAGATTCGTATTACTTTAATTGTCAACCAATCCTAGTTTAGAGCAAAAATAGTTAGCGATTGGATTAATCCTGTTTAATAGCAAAATGTTTCAAGGTTGAGACAAAGGTAAAACTAAAACATGACCTATGTCCTTTAGGTCAAATTACTAGTTAAGTGGGGAAGTAACAAAATGATCTGACAATAAAGGTTCGTTTTTTTATATTAGAAGGAATGTATTCGTTTCATCATTCGAAACACGACAAATCTAAGGACTAAATAGGATGCAACTACTCGCTACCACCACATTATGTACTAACAGAAAGTATTAAGGGATATGGTTAGACATGCTAAACTAAAATTGGTTAGTGACTAATTAAATGCTAAAATAATAATACATTGTAACACCCAAGAGAATAACTGTGGGGTCATTTATTTACAAGAAATTATAATCTATTAGAAGAAACACAATTGAGAACATAAATGAATTAAGAAGGATTACAAAGCGAGGCCAGAGATGCTTCTAACGAATTCAAACAAGAATGACTGGTAATGCGTTCTTAGTTTGGTCTTACTTTTACTCATACCACTTTCGTCCATCTCCGCGACGTTAATGCTTTAGCGCAATCTTAGATAACGAGATGATAATTGAACGAAATATTTCTAACAGAATCAATAACTATTAAAACAGTAAGGCACAAGTAAGTTTTCAAATATTATGCACCATCAAATGAAAAATAATCTGGTTTCTAAAACATTTTATAAGTCCATCAATTCCAAAATAATTTTTCCTGAGTATACCGAGCTATTCATTATTGAATGACGATGACATGTTAAACCCTAAATGGGTTCGAACTAGCTACTTACGGTTTACTGACCTATCTTAAACTATACCCACATAAGAAACTTATACAGAACAAGAAACAAAGTAATAAAACGATTAAAAACTGAACATCAGTTACCTGCCGAAGTTTCTGCCAACTATACAATGCCAGGTTGGATTGTATCTTTTGTCGCATTCTTTTTTAATAAAAGCAGCAATATCCTTCTCAATGTTATATGTTTCCAATGCCTCAACACAAATTTTCACTACTTCAGCTTGCATTTCTTCTGACATATCAGCATTCTTAATCACAGCTTTTTTCTCTGTCATTTTCACCAAGATACACTAGATTATTGTCAGCCAAATAACGAATTTATGTATGAAAAGTCATGACTAGAAATCAGTCCATTAAACGATTATATATTTATTCACATAAGTGTATGAATTAATTAACCAATCAGATATGAGTTAGGCACATGGTCACAGTAGCTTAGATTCACACCATGCCTAGTCGTGTTGTTGATTGAACTAGAACCACTTGATCACCCATAATGCAGCATTACTCTTTGATTGGTTCACTAGATCAGTTTTTTCTTCAAAAATACTGTTGCGCCTACGTCTATGCTCAAGATAGAGGTTTTATACAGTCGATTCGATTAAAATTATAGACAAAGGTAGACATTGATATTACTAAAACTTAATTCTTCCATCCTTCGTCAGCGAAATTGATCCACATTGTCAGTGCTTACTCTAAAAGTACTTGAACGTTTGTTTTAAAATAAATATTATTCATTGTTAACATAACATCTCACCAACGATATTATGGTGATTAGAAGCAAGGCTATAATATTTTTCTTATCGGCAAAATCTTAATCCACAAGTATAATATTTAAACATCTAAAACTCTGTCTTTGGTAGATTTTAAAAGTGGCTTTTACGATACTGCTTTACAAGAAACATTTGTTATATGTGCATGTATACTAACTTTTTCTCCTTTAGAGTATAAGCTTCTAAATTCACCATGAATCTTTTCTATAACTTCACTAATTTGTATTTTCTCGAATTATATCGTGGATGCCGAATCTTTTCTTTTACGATTAATACTGTTACTATCTCTATTACTCCTAGACTTGTCACGACAATTCTATCTTGCTGTTATGAGATATGGCAACTTGAAACGATTTACAGGTGGTTCATGTTCTACGTAAAGTTTGGATGAGAGATTGGGTATCTAGTTAATCGTTACACTGCAAACGGCCTGATTCAGAATGAGAAAATACTTAGGGTGTAGATTTGACTATTTGTAAGGAGAAAAATTGACAAATCGCATATCAAACATTCTGTAGTCAAATACTTTATTTTCTCAACAAATCATTTGAAACAAGTCTGGCTTATGTGATGTTCTAATAGCACTTAATCATAATGTGTCACCGAATGACAGTTAAAATACAGTAAAACGTTTGGAGAAAGCTTCTAGAATGTCTCATACCTCTATTTCGCATTGGTTAATACTTGCCAATAAAGTTTATCTAGATTCTTATTGGAGGCTGAAGCGTGTTTCAATTAGTGGGTCAATCGGAACCATCAGTGAACCATTCAGTCCTTAGTTGAAACATAGGATTGGATTGATTGTATTTATCTGCTACTGGGTAGTGTAATTACGTTTTTTCTCGTTCTTGATACTAACCGTATTCTATAGATCAGGTTTTCAATCGAACAACTTAGCTAAATAATTTGGTATTGAGATAGAAATATTGTGATATTGGGAATACGGAAGCAGATGGTAAGAAGCTCTAGAAGTACTGTAACAAATCACACTTCTAAGTGCTATACTGTGTACACATGAAAAGAGTATACGAAGAAAGAATTTATCAAAATCAATCACATCTTGACACACAACAGAGATGTTTATCAATGAAATGTGTTAACCACTATATTTATCTGAGTGTGAATAAAATCTCCATCAAGTTGACAGAATTAAAGAGTATGTAACAGGAATGGGGAAGAGGTTGTAGACCACCAACGTAGATGTTCGATGTCGAATGATTGGAGGCTTACTAGAGTAAGATGGGAATGGTGTGACTAAATCTGAATCAGGATCGGGAATAAGGTGAGTAATGTTCCAGTTCACTCGTCATCTCTCACCCTCCCGTAAACCAATCAGGTCGTAGAATAGTTTTCGTCTCTCTGCTCAAGGATGTTATTCTATATTCAGACCCACACATTTCTCGCCTCAAGGTTAAGTCAGTTAGCCTATTGTATCTAGGCCTTAATCTAGATCGAGACAAGTTCTTTCTTGTATATTATTGTGTAGACAGACCAAGGACGTAACACCATACATTCTCAACTGTACACAAAGATGAACACATGGCATTCAGGTATTGTGTTAAGGAGGGAAATAGGAGAAGATTCAATCTAAATCCAATGATCTATGTTAACAATACCAGTTACTATATGATATCGAGTCAGTGTACTGTTGACACTAAGCTTAGAGCATTTCATATCGAGTATAGACTGACGTTGGAAATTTAAAGCCATAGCTTCAGTGACAGTATTTTGGACATATCATTCTTGCTATGAAACCTGATGATAAAGTTGTCATTCATTTGTGGAGCTATGGATTCAAACTTCTGGGGAGAGCCAAATTAGGATGAAACAATCGTCCACTGCTCTCTGATCTTCAATGTTTTTTCTTACTGTAGTAAACTCATGATTAAAATTATCTTCAGATATAACAATTCTACACAAAATTATTATCTCAACTGACAAATGGAAATTCTCCTACTATGCATTTTATTCACACGATTTTTTGCATTTTCATTCTTGCCATATTACTATCATACTGATTATGACTTGGTACTTTACTACAAATTATTCTGACCTTTATTAAATGACCTTTTTAGTCTACAAATAACACAATTTCGAAGTACATATTTAGTAATAGATGCAAACGTTCATCATTTTCAACATATAACATTGTCAAATTCATTAAAACATGCCATATTTTGGCCTTAGTAAAATGTCGTAATAATTATGGACTGATAACTGTAGAACCTGATGATGAAGTTATTGAAAACAATTGTTCGCTCAAATATTCTTTAAAGAATATTTAATTGAATGATGTGCAATGTTTACATCATCTTATTAATTCAACTTGTAATCTGGATTTTTATTATGAAACTATCATCTGCCGCTTTTTAATCCTGAAATATTAAATCAAACTTAAGTATTCTTATTAAAATAAATCTACTCTATCCATTTGATAAGTTCATATAATATCATATAATAATATTGTTTGGTCATGGAGCTTTCATCGTTCTTGTTTGTGCTGATCATATCGTTCAGAAGAAAGATGAAAGCTCCACGATCAAACCATCCAGCTCAGAGGAAAAAAACTCCAATGGAATTTGATGACTTTTCGTTATTAGAACTCAACGAATGACACATTATCAATATCATTTAGCTGAGCTATAAAACTTCACTATCTTAATTGAGTAATGCATCGTTTAGTATGATTTAGAAATGATCTCTGTCGTTTTATTATATTGACAAATATTGATTTGCTGTTATGTAATCTGTAATGTTATCAAATTAGGCTACTGAGAGGTGATGATGATTTGTTTAAATTCATTGTTAATAATAATAATATCAGAAGGGGTTTTGTGCAGATTGTAGTAATTTCAACAGTTGAGATCATGAGTCAATTGAAGCTAGACCACCATGGAAAACCTGGAAGCACTGGACGGCTGTTTCGTCCTATTGTGAGACTCCTCAATAGTGCGCATCCACGACCCCGCCCCGCGGGACTCGAATCCAGGACCCAGCAGTCTCGTGACAGGCGCTTAACCAACTAGACCACTGAGCCGGTATCCAACGGCGTTAATGTGAGGTAGTAACTCACTGATGACAATGGCAAATGTGTCGCTGAATTTCGTGGATTAGTTGAAGTTAGACATTAACACCGTCGGATACCGGCTCAGTGGTCTAGTTGGTTAAGCGCCTGTCACGAGACTGCTGGGTCCTGGATTCGAGTCCCGCGGGGCGGGGTCGTGGATGCGCACTATTGAGGAGTCTCACAATAGGACGAAACAGCCGTCCAGTGCTTCCAGGTTTTCCATGGTGGTCTAGCTTCAATTGACTCATGATCTCAACTGTTGAAACAATAATAATAATAATAATAATGATTAGTCCGAAAGTATTAAGATGTTAAATTATTCTATGAATTAGAGCATAATTAATGTTGTTATTTTAAATCAATAAGTAATTCAGTTGGAAAATTATTAAATTTCCTATTTATTATTAAAACATGGTTATTTGATGTTTTGATAGGAATACAAGTTGAGCAAAGGAACTGGATGGTTTGGTCCATCCAGCTCAGAGAACAAAACTCCATCAAAAACATAGCTTTTTTAAAAGGTGTCTAACGTGACTAAAATGTATAAATTTACTGAAAACTTATGTTTCAAAACATGGTTCGTGACCAGTTGAGAAATAACTCTGTGAGATAGTAGAGTTCCGTTCAACCGAATTGGATGTTTAACTAAGCATATCATTATATAATCAAACTTTCATCAAATCTAAATACCTAAGGAAAGCTTTAGATTTTAGGTCAATATTAAAATATTTGATTTTCCAAGAATATTTTAATTTTGATGCATAAAATGAAGTCAGTATGTGTTATAATTACAGTTATTATTTGGTACCTTCATAATATGAGTATTATATGAGTAAAACTGAATCGCTGTTGATGAATATAAATGGAATTATGCTGATTGAGGATAATGATGTAGAAGGACAAGGGTTAAAATAAATTATATTTAGTTAATAAGAACGGGCGCCGTTGTAATTCTCCGTTGCTGACGTGTTCCGAATAGGACAAAGTGCATGAAATGGGTTTTACTGTTAACCATTTACTTACTTACGTCTATTACCACACATCGTGGAGGAACATAGGCCACCCACCAGTATCCTTCATCCAACTCTGTCCTGGGCAATCCTTTCCAGTTACCATTCAACTTATTCAAGTCTGCTTCCAATTCTCGGCTCAGTGTGTTCTTTGACCTTCCTCTTTTCCGCTTCCCATCAGGATTCCAAGTTAGCACTTGCCTCATTAGGCAGTTTGTGTGTCTTATCCACTTCCAGCATCTTTTCCTAATTTCTTCTTCAGATAGAAGCCGGTTTGTTCTTTCCCACAGTTTCTGTAATGTTCTCCTACCAATACTCTCGAATGCATTCTAATAGTCAATGAAGTTGATGTATAGTGACGAGTTTTATTCAATTGATTTTTCAATGATGATCATCCTTCGTATCACAATTCGGTTTATGCATGACCGATCCTTAAGGAATCTGACCTGTTAACCATACGTTAGATACACTAAAGTTTTTGACTGACCACCATATTGGAACAGTTTGCTTAGGATATACATGTACGTACAGGGACTTGTTAGTTGAAATCTTGAGTACCGATAAGGAGAAAACTACAGATTCTTACTTATAACTTTCTTTCCGTTTAACAAGTGGCTATATGGACTTAGCAGATCAGTGGGTAATGGGTTGCGTGTTTGAACCGATAAGTACCGAGTTCTAGTCCCAGTGTGAATACCAAAACTGGGATGAAGGTACATCAAATTGATGAGTTCCAAATAGAATGAAATCTCCATCCTGGATTCCATTGCAAGTCACATATTAAACATACTAGGTTATAATTA